TGGTCCGAGTTTGCGACCATTTCGGGTAATGGGGGAAGGGAGGATTCAAGACCATTAATGTTGTGAACGGTAATGAAAACGTTGACGTCAGTTGGAGCAGAGTTGCCAACTCTGTTGAGCGTCGTAGACTTCAAAACCACATTTTCCAACGCAAACATCGTATGTCGAATCGACAACCCCTACGGAGGTTTCCCAGATGTCTAAGTTTTGATACTAATTCTTCTCCTCACGGCAAAAGTTGAAAGAGGAAAGGCTAAAGCGCGATCCACTATTCTTCGAGGTACAACAATCGGTACCGTTGATGGAGACTTCGGAGAAGATCAGACAAAGTTGACCGATACGTGTTGGCGATCCGGATTGCTTCCACCATACGAACAGTGACGGTTCTCAAGCAATTGAAATTCGCCCCTTCCCCTACACCGTTTGCGAACCTTGCTCCGGCATCTTCATGACACCTATGGATCTGAAGATGTCGACTACGTTTGAGTCCTCCTACGGTGATGATGGTGTCGATACCAACTTACTCGGCTTTTATGATGGTGGGAACATATTGGCAAGCCATCTTCAATTCAAAAGTCCCCGTAGCCCACAAAATCAGTCCGTGATGAGCAGCTTCCTCAGCCTTGCAATCAACTGATAGAATGGTCTGATACAGAGTACCTGTGGAAGACAAACGTTGAGGGTTTCCTTGGAACCGAGTGTTATTCACAGTTCAGCAATGGTCACAATGGAGTTCGCATTAATTCAGGAGTGCAAGGTTGCTATGAGGTACTTCGGACCCCACGCACCAAGCTATTCAGAATAGAATGTAATGAGACGGTCTACTTTATAAAATTCATAGAAAGTGCATTTGATCTGAAGTTCAAATCCGTTCTCGTCATTGTTGAAATTTTACCTAAATAGAACAGATGAGGTCTAGAAAGCTTTTGTCATGATCCGAGTCAAGGGGGCGGGAGGTTCAGGGCGCTAGCCAATAGAAGCACAGCTTGCCTTCTCTTGGCCATTCTTACTGCCCGATACGGCAAGTCGAGGAACCGACTCGCCGCCACTTACAGCCGCAAAGATTGACAATACTCAGTGCCCGGCGCCTTGGCAATGATGCTTAAAGATGACGACTGACGTCAATTCACCACTCATGGGTGGTATCTTTGAGCCGACCGTTATCGAGGCTTCTTCTTCTTATTACTGCCAGGTGAATGTAGAAAAAGATAAAATGAACAGATTGGCATCTCCCAGCTGTCATCTCTTCGTCAAAAGAACAGGTTCATATCTCTCATTGCAACACCACCCCAACCCCTCCAGCAACTGAAGCACCCTCGTTCACAGGAAATCAACTCGAATAAACAAAGACAATGGGCTCCTCCAGCAGCAAAAACAGCGACCCCTACTGGTGGGGCTACATCGACGACGGCAAGGGCTGGACGGCACGCCCCAAATCCGAATACATGAAGACGCCGGCGTACAACAAGCAGCTGCGACGGCAGATGAAGCAAGAGTCCCGGACAAAGGGTGGGAGTGGTCATATTTCTATGGCAGAACAGTCTCGGAAACAGTGGTAGTACTGAGGTACTTCGGTCGAGGCCTTCATACTAGGAAAGAACGCCTTTGCAGATTGCGTCTTTATGTGTGTAGTCAGGTTGGTGCCGCAAGCTTTGCTAGCGGTATGCCTGACGCCAGCATCTAGGTCCTTCAAACCATCATAAATTCAATGAAGCCATGCTGAAGAAGACTGCCGGTTCATTGTTACAATCCTTTCATCTATTGCAGACGCTAGCCAAGGCCAGAATCCACTGTGATGAAAGAGTAAATGAAACAAGTGATTGAGACAAACACAGCAAGGCACTCTAAACGTAAAAGTCATTTGATACCTAAGCTTTTGGCCCCCTTCACATCAGGAGACAATCCTATAGCCAGATGTACACTACAGTTACACGCTCCAGACCACATCACATGGTCGTGAAATCCACGTCTCATTTTGTGCTCGCTTTCTCTATCCCGAGGTTCCATGAGCGATCGTGGCCTACCACAAAAATCCTCATCTCTGTATCTGCATATCCTCGTTCTTCAACTGAAGTACATCCTCCAACCTGAGATATTTACTGTGTCTTCTTGGTGGCAGTCGCAGTCCCGGAAGGCGCACTGTACATCCACACAGCCGAGAACAGCACAAAGCCGGTGATGGTAGCGAAGATGCCAGACAACCAAGGCCAGGCGCCAGAGATGACGTACGAGCGAGGCCACTCATCGTGGGCCATGTGGCGGACGGAAACGGTGTTCTTCTCCTCGACGTTGGTGAAGAAGGGGCGCTTGTAGTTGACCTTGAAGTTGAAGATGCCGTGCTGGTCAGGCAGGATGAAGGAGGTGGTGTAAGTGGTGGCGTCGGCGGTGCTGGCCTTGGCGGCAAGCGGGATGCGGTGGAAGGGGGAGAGCATGCTGAACTCGAGCTGGAGGTCATCGCCGCTGGGAAGTGTGAAGGTGGTCCACTTGTCCCAGGAGTACTCAGAGACAGAGATGGAGTAGGTCTGCTCAGGGGTTAGCATTTTCTTGCGCTTCACTGAGCATCTAACTCGAAACAACTTACGACTTCGTTCTTGATGCGGTAGAGCTCGGGGTTGGTCTCGTTGGCAGCCTCGTTGAGGTAGTGCTCGATGTTGTTGACGCGAAGGACACCAGTCTCCTGGAAAGTCCAACCGGCAACTCTCTTGGCGAACTCGCGGTTCCAGGTCTTGACCTCCTTGCCAGCAGCCGCGGGCTTGATCTTGGCGTCGAACCACTTGTCGCTCAGCAACTCGGCAGATCCAACGAGGGTGAAGCGAGCGCTGTTGCGCGCCTGGAAAGCTGAGACGAGAGCGAGCTGTTCGCCGGCGGCAAACAGGTCGCTGGCGTCAACGACCTCGGCCTGCTCCTTGGGGTTGTAGCTGTAGGCCGTCTTGGGAGCGCGCAGGATCGGGGTGAGGAGCTGGCCGGCACCGAGGACGTGGCCGATGCCGTTGGGGAAGGCAATAACCTCGCCGTCCTCGTGGAAGAAGTTCTTGACGCCGGTGCGGGGGGACTTGGGGGCGGGGATGGCGAGGACGTCGTGCTTCTCGGAGGCGCTGACGGTGTCGTAATTGAAGTGGTCGACGACAAGGCCGGTGCGGTCGGCGGGGAGGGCGATGTCAAGCTCGGCCAGGAGGCTCACGATGGAGGTCGGGACGGTCGATTCGGAGGAGAGGGACAGAAGGATGTTGCCCTTGGCGTTGATGAACTGGAGGAGAATGTTGGGGGTCAGGTTGGGACCGAGACCTGGAGATGCCATTGTAAGTATAGATTCGATAGATCTGGGATTGCAGTTGAGTCGCATACCCTTGCTCTTAGAGGGGAAGAGCAGAACGTGGTCGTAGACACGCTCGCCGAGCTTGAACAGCTGCAGAGACTCGCTCTTGGGCGTCTCGTAAGAGATGCTGAATCCGCGGCCTAATTCGATCAATTGGTTAGCCAATCGCATTCTCTCGTCTTGCAATTGCCCTCATCCCCGAGCTTTCCCATCCTCTCAAATGAGCTCTGACGTACTTTCCAAATCTCCGAGGAACTTGGAGTATCCCTCCTTCTCAGCAACATCGTCGAGAATTGCCAGAAGCCGGCCGCCAGTGACGCTAACAGCGTGCACAGCGGCAGCCAGAAATAGCAGACAAAGCGAAAGAAGAGACCGCATGATTGACTAAATTCAATAGACAAGTTCGTAGGAGGGGGGGGTGGTGGGTGAGGAGGTTCAAGAAACAAAAAGAGAAAGTTGGGCGCACAGCTGGGGTGCGTTGCGTAGCTGGCTGCGCGGGAGAGCTTGACATGCACTTTTGGGATCCGGTGCATGTGTCTTGAAGCTTGGGGATACGTAGCCGTTGCCAAGCTAAGGTAGCGGTCGGAGAATCCCCGGCAGGTGGGTGGGAGGTCCATTCCCGGGACCTGAGGTGGCCTGGCCTGAGCTTCCCGTCTCGCTTTTCAGCAGGGGTACGTACTCGCCGCGTAGATACCCAGACCTGGGAGCGCTAGTTATTCCGGCGAGGTTTATCCGACCCCTGCCGGCCCCCGGAACTCTTGCGGCTCCATTCTGAGCTTCGGTCATCGAGGAAAGACGACCGTCCAGCGATAGCAACAATCATTTGACGATACACCACACGGTCAATTGAGTACGTCACGTCGAGCAATCGCATCCCCGCCCTCTGGACTCCAATCGCATAGCTAATTGTCAGCATCACAGTACCCAACAATGTCCTCCGCCGCATCTCCCCGATTCTGGGCCGGGCCCATTCGCTACTGCCGCTGGGCATCCCGCGAGAAGCCAGCCTACTTCTGGTCCGTCGTCCTCGGCGCCCTCGGCCCCATCCAGCTGGCCGTCGTCCCCCCCGTCAGAAACTTCATTGGCGACTACAACGCGCCGCCCATCCCCGTCACATACCCTGGTGAGTCTCGAGAAAACGAAAACACCGCGAAGGCCGATGAGGCTTCTCTCCATCAACGGGAGCATGAAAGGCAATAAAAGAATACTAACGACGCCACAGTTCCTGCAGGACCCAGAAAGCAGCTGACGGGGTATGACGACGAATGAACCCTCGCCGCAAGACAAATCTAGAAAAATCCAAAACATTCGGCGAAGGAAGAAAGCTATTGTAAATATGCACGGCGTTCGGGCTCTAGACAGCGAACAAGGGATGAAGTGGCCACTCGTGCGAGCTGCTGAACCGAAGCTATAGCTCGCGGCTCGCGGAGTTGCCCTTCTACACAGGAGATGATCTGCTTTGAGGCTTATGCTGTACACTACCAGTCACGCGAAGTTTCAATTCACTCGTGGCCCACTCCAACTGTTCAAATGCGGCGATGTTCATTTACCAAGAGAGACAGAACGAGAGAGAGGACGCCAATTCTATGCTAGCCTGGTAGAAATCCGCTATGCCCCCTTATAAACTTGATCGGATGCGATTGCCACCCTTCCCATAACTTTTGTTGCCGGCAATGGCCAGACTCTATCTGTCTCGCTGGACAAGGTTCCACTCGTACTGCGCAACCGCGTTAGAAAACATAAGCTTTGTAAAGCGAAGGGTTGTGTAAACTTACCACTCGCCCATCATCATCTCCTGTGTAGACGCATTGTGGCATGGGCGTGATGCAAGTAATGCCTGCGTCGTAATTGGCTCCCACTTCTGATCGTGGATCGGTATGGTCCAAGCGGCGGAGCAGCTCTAATACCCACTTCCCGTTCTTGACGCACTTCTTCCAAACGTTCACACGACCTCTCTTGTGGCCGGTGAAGATCAGGCAATTCTCAACCCACTCGTCGCCAGCGCTTTCGTAAAAGGCACATGAGTGAACGTAGTCGTCTGGTTCAGCGCACACGTTCTGGTCGATGAGGACTGTGCCGTTGATGGTGTATAAGATGACGTTGGGGCCGGATCCGAGCATGATCTCGCCAGAGACGTCATTGATGCGGGCGCACTCCACGGGCCGCGAGAGAGGCAACTTGCGGATGAACTCTAGACGATTGATATCCCAGAGGAAAGCCTGGCCATCCGTCGACGCTGACACAAACGTGCTGAAGGATTTGGACACGGCTATGCTTGTCACTGGAGCCCGGTGACCAAAGAGTGATGACCGAGGCAAAAGATCGACTACTTTCCCAGGCGCTGTCTGCACAGCGTATACGGAGATGACGCAGTCCTCTCCCGCTGTGATGAGCGTCTTGGAATCTGCAAAGATGGCGCAAGATAACTGCCCAATGTGGAGATTCTCAAAAAGTCCCGCGGGCTTATGGCTATTAGCAAAGCTCTCAGGAAAAGTCTTGTCAGGCTGTCTCACCTTCCGGTTGTCGCTGAAAAAGAAGCGGACACTGTTATCGGCATAGCCCCATTCGAGGAACTTGTCGTACGGAGCAACATTCAGGCGGAAAGGTGAGGCGCATATGAGGCGGTCTATCTTTGGAGAGTAAATCAGAGTCGCTACTCTCTCGTGTGATTCTGAGACATTCGTTAGCCAGCGCCAATTTTTGGTGGAGTGAAGCATACCGAGCAAGGGGTGGGATAGCCTAGTCAAGGCATAAACCGAGGTATCCAATCGCCGTATCGGGCAAGAAAAGTGCTCGCGACCAGGATGAGACCGAGTGAACACCTGGTGCGGAGTCTGACCAAAGTTGTGGATGACGCCAGCAGTAATGCGCCTTTCCTGAGGATCGCTGATATTGTCCAGGTCCGTAGCTCCACGGTACGAGAGATGATGGAAAACATTAAGGTTGTCTACAGCTGCATCCCCTCTCTGCTTATACCCAAATATGAGGTCGATCCAGTTGTGCAGGTGCTGGCTGACGTAGGGACTTTCAAGTGCTTCGCGGTGCTTGGCAATGAATATCTTAGGGTCACCCTTGGCCCAGGGAGGCAGGACAACATTATTGACCTTTGCTCCTGTGCTTTCACGATTGCCAAAGTTATACTGATTAATGTTTGTCAGGAATTCTGGGAGACAGAAGAACTCCGGAATCAGCTCTCTGACATCGGCCTTGTTGTCGCACGAGGCAGACTTCCACGCATGAGGAATTGACTGGAACAGACGGTCGGCGTGGTCAAACGATCCACCTTGAAGGAGGATGTAAGACTGAACGAAGGGCGGAAGGCGAATGAGATATGACGACACAATCATGGCTGAAGAGTAGTGGGTGCCGTAGTGAAACGGAGTTTCGCCTATCTCTGCCAGTGCATCGTACGACTCCCTGAACCCGGAAACACGGCCAGCCGTCTGGGCACCCATCGGCTTTGAGAGGTCTCGGAAGGTTGCCGGATCGTTCAGATTGAGCTCCTCGCTCGTATAATCTGCGAGGACCCAAGGGAAGACTGGGTACTGGGTCAAGTCGTTGAACGTACGTCCTGCCATCGTGTTGACCAGCATGAGGTAGTGGAAGTTGGACATCTCTCCCTTCTGCCACTTCTTCATGGCGGGGTTCCAGGGCGTGGAGTTGAAGATGCTTCCAAACTTCGAACCAAAGCCTTGAGGCATTTCCTCGGAGACCTTCAACGCTTCAAGGCGCCAGGCATCCTCAGGGTTGGGAAGTGAACTGGCGGAGTTTGTGTGCGGAGCCTTGTTCATCAGCTTGCCAAAGACCTCGTCTCTCAGAATCGGGTTCATGGACGTCAGTAAGTAGCTGCGTCCATCTGTGAAGAAGACCTCGATAGCGACATCCCGGAACAGGAATCTTCTCTTGGAGATACTGATCACATCGTGCCATCTCCAGCTGCGGGATTCTTGTTCACTTCGGCTTGAACTCTGGCGTTGCTCTGTCGTTTTGGCGTCCGTAATGATCTCCGAGAAGGGGTCTCGCTCCTCTGGAGGAGCTTGCCAGGCATTGACAATCTCGCCAGATGCACACTGAAACACGTTGTCCATGATATACAAGGCATCCTTGCCAATGATAAGGATACCCTCACATCCCTCAAGGCCGACGATGCGCGAGATGTTGTACACGGCTTGGACCTGGTCTCCTTGTTCAAGACGCCGCATAACCTTGCGGTTCTTGTCCTCGAAGCCGTCATCTCCTTCGTTGGCGTCGTTTGGATCGTCAACAAGCTCGAAATCTTCTTCAGCACCCACGCCGGACTCGTTTACCTCCGCGTCCTGGTCAACATCTGGCGGGGTATCGGGGTTTTCTGCGCCATCAAGGCTCGGGATAGGCTGTACACGTGATGACGCCGGTGTAGCTGATTTTATAGGTGATGGTGCAATCTGCACAGGAGCCATAGCAGTGTTTACCTTCAGGGCTGAAGGAGTGGAGGGTTCTCCTGCTCTTCTCTTCGGTTGGTAGTTCGAATGCTTCTTGGAGTAGTCGGGCAGAAGCCTCAGACGCATCCGATTACGTCCTTCCGTTCGATCAAGCTTCCACTTAAGCTGAGCATGCTCACTGAATACAGCACCTGGGCGTCGCAGATCGTTATCCATCTTGACAAATGCTGCACCGAGGAATGCCATATCATCCTGCTGGTCTTGTGTCAGACGTTGATGCTTGAAGTGCTCGCTAGTAAAGATGCTCTTCATCCAGGCCCCGTTCGCCATGTCGTGACGGAGGAGGATATTATCCACGGTAAGTGCCTCCGTCTGCCATCCTTTAAGTCGATCTCTGCGCTTCGCTAATCGGAACTTAGCCGAATCAACCGTTCGCTGGTTTTCGACGACGACGAACTCCTCCCAGATCTTTGATATGCCACCAAAAAAGAATGCATCAAGTGATGCACGGTGTTGATCCACCCATTCGATAAAAGCCTCGTCGTCAATTTCGGTGAGCTTAACAACGAAATCTTTCGTCAAGTGCTGCTGGTCTGGTGCTACACATTGTCTGAATAGCACCTTGGATTCATGGGGTTTCTGGACAAGCATGATGCGCATGATTGTAGCGGCGGCAGATCTGATGGATGTTCGGGGATCCACGAGCTTCGAGTACAATTGATACCAGAAAAGCTTCATGTACTCCTCCTCATTCGCAAGGCAGCCCAGGATCGGGGCTTGCCAGTAGAGAATATTACTCATGAATTCCTTTGCGCTGGCATCCGGCGTGTCTGGGTTGTCCAGTTCTGAAAACCGCAAGAGAAGAAGCTTCAAGAATGATTGACGGATGGTTCCAACGGCTTGACTGCACAAGCGAACGCTCTTCAGCGTCGAAACTTCGGGCCGTTGAAGGTACTCCAGCACCATGCCAGCGAACTCTAGCATGGGCTCAGTACCGTTAATAAACCAGCCCTCAAAAATGGTATCGGTGATGTGTGCCGCAAGTCTCCCCATATTGGTAAGAATCTTAGGCTCACTAAGAACCTTCTGATTCGCTTGGACATGGCTTCCAAGTTGTTGAAGTGTCTTCCTAAGAACAAAAGACTCGAAATAGGCTTGGTGCTCCTGGAAGCCTGGCGGAATTTTGAGGAAAAGACTAAATCCCGGGAACTCCTTGCGCGTAAAGACTTGTTCTATAAAGACACTGATGACTAGATCCACCATGCTGTCGAGCGTGGCGCTGCTTGACTGTTGAGAGGCGACCTTCTTCTTCGGTGACATGACAGGTGCAAACCGGACCGGGCTTGGGGCTTGAGGTGATGTTTGGTTGGTGAGCAGAACAAAACCAGATGCTTTCCGTAGTGGTGTTCCACGAGGGTTCCCTGCCAAAGCAGCAACTGCGTCTGTGCTCGTCGTCCGCACGATGGGGCCAGGCTGAGAGCCGGCCAGTGGGCGAATCATCACATCCCCGCCCTCGAATGTCAGGGCTGAATCTCGAGAGTTGAGCTCCGTATCCGGCGTGACGGCATCGGTGCTAACGATGATGGGATAACACGCCCACAAGAGATACCTCACATACTCGGACGTCAATGCAAAGTCCTTGAAGTCGGCTGACCGAGAATGCAAGTCTGCCAGGAATCGGATAACCGTTAGCAGCATGGGCGCGTGATTTGATATCCGCTCGCTGTCACGCGGGCCATTCTCTGATACTGTAGTGAACGTCAGCATTGTCATTCCCGTGCATAGAGGCAACGACTCACTTCTCGCATCGAGGCCCCTGGTCTCCATGGATTTGGCCCGTGGCCGGGTTTCTAAGCCTTCGAATCCGCTTGCCTGGAGGTGATGTGACTTTTGAGGGGAATTTGGGTCCTCCTGATGCTTCATGACATCCTTCAAGCCATGTTGTAGCATTGAAGTTATGACTTGGAGACATTCAGGGTAGAGAACGCGAGCTCTTCCAAAGGTTTCAAATAAGCTTGAAAACTCAAAGGTGCGCTCCAAGTCGACGTTGGCCACGTCAAGTCCGAATAAGATGCTGAAGCAGATTGGCCACAAAGAGGGAATGTGCCACCAGCGTTTAAGTCGATGTGCCATGATGGTGAAGCCACCAGTCTTACCGGAGAACTTGGCCGTATACGTGGAGCCGTGCGTGATGAGGAGTCTGGCCAGGATCTTGCTGCCATATACTACCGTTTCGGGGTCGTCGTTGGCCAAGAGATATAGCAGCCACTGGTCCATACTCAATAAATATAACTGTTTTTCCTTTTCTCCAAACGGTGGTCTCACCTTGTTCGTCACTGTCCTTGCAAACTTGCGGATGTTGGCCAGGTTGCCCTTTTCGCAGAGCAGGTTCGAGTACATTCCCAGAATCTTGGCACCGAGTTGTTTCTTTGTCAGGAACCGGGAGGGGGACGTATTCGATGAGCTATTGGAGTCGAAGGTTGCCCGTCTGGCATATCCGGTCGTAGGAGTTCGGGTTGTGGTAGACACAGGTCTCGGCGACCTTATCAGAGAGGCTGTTGGTGAGTGGAAGGCATATGTGATGAACAAAGCTAGTGACCTGTGCACCTCTGCTGTGTAGTTGCATTTGACCAGTTGCTCCAAAGCAGCCATGAAGTGTGGCTGCACCTCCTCGGATATCGATTCTGCTTTCATCGCGTCGAGCAGCCGTTTGACGATTCCTTTCATGTCGCTTGTCAGCAGTGCCGATGACTTTGATCTAAGGGTCGACCCACTCATGCGCATTAATCTTCTGCTATTAAATTGATGATACTTGCTCTTCACTGAGAATGTCACGAATTGCTTGTAGTATAGCTCCTGGGTAATGGAAGCTGATCGTCTCCAAGTATCGAAATCGATAAGCAGGATACGGTACGCCAGAGGATTGACAATGAAGGACTCCAAAGGTTCTGCATGGTTATAGCCCACAAATTCGAGGACAAGGCTCAAAAGCTGGAAACTCAATCTGTCCCGTTCTTCACTTGAAATCGGTAGGCGTAGATTGGCGCTGTCAACACCCAAGTTGACAGTGTAGCCTAGTTTGGCTCTGAGGAGCATGCCGAGGATAGCGTAGCCATTATCACGCTCCATTGCCTCGCTGTTTCTCCAGCTCTTTCTGATGCACAAAAACGTCATCTCGACTGCTCGGACTGTTTCTTCTACTGAAGTCGCCCTTTCAACAATCTTCAGAGCCAAAGGGGTGAAGCCTGCAAGGCGCCAGAAGTTGTCGTCGAAATAGGAGGGCATTACCACCACTGGATTGCCAGATAGAACAGCCACTCCTTGGGATCGCGCCAATGCATCCAGAAGGCATGGCAGAGCAGCGTTGATCGCAATGGCTGAACCGCTTCTATGGGTCATTTGGATGAGATTCGTCGCTGCAGGTCGAGGTAGTGCACGGTAAAGTTGAGTATCTTGATAAACGCCATCCTCTCTGAAGACACCTGTCGGAAGTATGCTGAGAAGAATTTTGCTTTCTGGGAGAAGGCTGCCAGCCTTGTCCCTGATGGCTCTTATGATATCAGAACTCTCATCCCTTCCAGGATGGAAGACCTCGTTTCGTAGCCCTAGGCTGGCCGAGGCCTCATAAGTCTGAAACCCGCCTAGGCTATCTTGGAAGTTGCCCTGGTATTTGGGGGAGAGACCGTAGTGAACGGCTAGGAAGTCATCGCTCAGCGCGTCTTCAAAAAGATGTGCTGAAGCCAGCGACCACTTCGAGAAGACCAGTCCGGAGCCAAGTTGGCTGGAAAGATCTCTTGGAGTTCCTAAGAATGCCTGAACAGGATGTTGCTTTGCATTTGTCGAAGCAAAAGATGCGAAGCTTTCGGTACTAGCATTGGCGAGAGGTGGCGGCGAAGGGTATGCACACTTGATCTGCTCAACGAACTCCCCATTCACGTATAGTGAGGCCTTGCTGGCAGTCATTGTTTTGGGTCGTCTGTGAACAAGGGCAATGTGGTACCATTGCTTGTCCTTGAATGACATCCCTTTGAACCTCACGCTTGGCCGGCTGGAAGTGACTGAGGTCTGCAAGATGAAGTTGCGTGTATCTCGCTCAAGGTACATGAGGAGAAAGCATGTCTGACTAGCATCAAAGACGCCAAAGAGGGTCGTATGTGAGTTGGGGTCGAAACGGTCTACACGAATCCATGCCGTAAAGGTGTAGCCTGGCGACGAGCTGGGAGGAAAAGACCGGCCGAGGGTGGGTAATTCGATGGACGAGTGACCATGTAAGGAGAGGTCGAATTGAAAGAATGGAGGGCCGCTGTACGTCGAAGTCATCTCCAAACAGAATTCTGAGGCTTCCGGCAATGTGCTCGTCAGTAAGAATTGGGTGTCGGCGGGCTGGTTGAATCCCAGGTACATGAGCTTTTTGCACATGATGAGGAGCTTGTCCTTCTCTGCTTGGTCGAGTTTGGCGACGGGGCTGAACAGCACGCGGAGGAAGCGTGACAATACTCCGGTTGCGTGGAGAGCTGCGAGGTTGAACATCGAGACGGAAACTGCGCTTGACATGATCTCCAAGACGACCATTGAGCAAGAGTTGGCCGGCATGTCCTGCGCTCGCGGGATGGACTCCCAGAAGCCTACGACAGCACGCAGAATTTCGGGGTTTTTGAAGACAGCCCGTTTCTGCATGGCATCGCGCACCTCCTGTATTATATCCTTTTGTTCTGAGACTGGCTGCGCTTCTTGTTGCTGAGTATCATCTTCGGGAGGCTCCTCGGGATTTGTCGTCTTCTTGGCATCTTCGTCCTTCGGCTCTGCACTTGTTGCAACCGACTGGCAAATGGCATCCATAGTCTTGTCCCCGAGCGAGAATGCCAGCAGTTTCCCAAACATCTGACAATTGGTCCACAGATCAGAGTCGCTTCCGCCAAGGCCAACGCTGGCAATGGTCTGCTCGAGAGCCTCCCATCCGCCTCCTTCCACCCTGTGGCGAAAGTATCGCTTGTTCCCTGGATGATCCAAAAAGGCAGCGGCAAAGACGTCCAAGACGGCTTCCAGCAATCCGAATAGACCTTCTTTCTCTTCTTTGGTCCGGCATTGGGGGTTGTAAAAGCCCGAGTAGGATCTCAGCACGTCAAGGAGCCTGTTAAACCCGTGTAGGTGCCTAAAATCGTCTTGGGGCGGGCTCGGGGGTTCGGTTGCGGCAATGTGCTGTCGAATCTGGCGGAGGCTCTTGATGAGCACGGGAAACTCGGGATATCCATCGTTGGTTCGCCGTTGCGTGCTGGACGTGAGTGTATCGAGGAGGCCGCGCAGGATTTCGAGAGCTTTCGAGTTGGCGGCGCTGGACGATCTGGACGACGCCGAAGTCGACGAGCGATAACGCCTCGACACTTGTAAGGTCGACATGTTTGATTTCTGCTACTGCAGCGTTTCCCTCATTCCAAAACGTTCAATCCCAGCACCCATCGAGGGTCCAGGCAACGGTCCAAGCTAGTCGGCATCGAAAGTGGGATGCGGCGTGGGATCGAACGGCAGCTTGTAGCTGAGAGTACTGGTCGGTGGGGGATTCGAGTAGTATGTGTAGTGGATGTATGGGTGGAGGTTTGAGGTGGTGGAATAGTACAATCTCAATGTAAAGAAGGAGCCACAATTCTCGAATATCTTGATAGGAAGGGAAAAAAAAACAAAAGTGAATCACCTCGAATTTGCTTCGATTTCTCAGTGTTGCAGCTACGCGTTATCGCAAAGACGGAGTCGGAGCTGATGCTTGTGAGTGTCAGCCTTGAGCAGTGAAGTGTGGCTTGCACCGCTCTCAGTGGCCGCCTTGTCACGCACAAGCAGGAAGGAACGTCTGACGTGCCGGCCGCGTTGGGAAGGAGTGGGGTAGGAATGGTGGCGGTGCTGCTGCAGCTCAGTCATCATGGACGGACCCGTCAGGGCCGACACCGCTAAAAGATGATGCAGCTCAGTGAGCTACTCCACTGAAAAAGACCACCACGACCATGTTCAGCTTGGGGGTCCCCGTTACATTGCGCAGAGACGATGGTGATACGCCTTGCTCCCCATGCTATTCATGGAAACAGCTCACACTGCGTGAGAAGGATGTGAAGCGCACAGTGAGGGCCACCTTACCTTGGCTTTCTCGGTTTTCATCTTCACATGTGTGGCGACTTGATGACCTTATTTACGTTGATGACGCCCTTTTGAATAAGACTTGACATTGCTTGCTACCTGCCTCACTGCCAGAGAGCTCTCATTACCTTACTCCGTACTGCTGCGGGTATCTGCAGTGACATGTTCCAAAATGCGAGCCTGGCACCGACAAGCTTAGCTGAGCTTCAGAAACAAGGTGTATCTTAGTGCAGATAAACCCTGGCTTATCGCGGCCAAGCTGAGATGTGCAGAGAGAGATACGGATAGCTTCCGGTGCTAACACTAACAGTGGACTGGGATAACCAGAGTGGACCCCATGAAACATTGTTGCTTCATCCCATTCGAGCACGCTCTCAGATATAGGCATCAAGGTATCTGTATAGCTAAGTACCGAATTGATAGAAAATGGATGGTGTGTCCTTCGGTCAGCAGCTCGGGCCCTCAAGTAACTACAAAGCTGACGCGAGTTGTCTTGCTTGCCTGGGATGACGAAGAATGCCTACTAGGAGGTAGCCCGCTTGGTGTATTCGTACATATCCGTACATGAATGCATACTCTCTCGCAACTGCATAATCGCTAGAGGTAGCTGGAGGGTTGAAGAGAACACCCTCACTGCTGCATGAAACCCACCAGCAAAAGCTAGAAAGACCCCAAAGACATAGAAACACGAATCAGTCGACGGCGGCCTATCAGTCTTTCTAGCTCGTTGAGTCAGTGGCCAGCCCTCAGCGCTAAACGGCTATGACAATGCAGGTAAACAAAAGACAGAGAGTCGGTCAACTGCCCATGTGTCATGACTCCGTTGACCGGGGTTTGCTTGGGCGATCATCGCCTCAGGCGCTGGCCATCCTTTCGGAGGAGCATTGCTGCATCTGGGAGGAAGCTTAGGCGGCATGCGTGGTTTCAGTCTGCCTTTTCCCCAACTCTTGGACGCCGAGACATGGACAAGCTTGGTTGATTGTGAGAGGACTGAAAATAGTCGCGAGATGTTCTCGCAAGGCGACGATGCTCACCGAAATGTTCGCTGAAATGGTGTCGAGCTTCGTTACTGCGTCTATGGTCAACGACACGCGTACCGCATATATCCATATCGAACTGGCGTGAATGGCCCAATTGCCTTCACGGACGGATCAAGATGGTGTGTTGAGTTGCACTCCTCGCATTGACAGGCGACTCGCAAGCCCGTGGCGTTTCCTTTATACGCAACACCCACAGAGACGTTCCTGAGCCGATGGGCGGCGGTTGGTGAACTAAAACAAAAGGCAATTGTCATATTCGGACGAATGTTTCCGCTCTGCTGACCTGCGCGAGTAACGCAAGCCGCCGTCGCCGCCGCCGCCATTGTCGCCTCCCATACTGAGAGAACCCGGATGAGTCGTTTAACTGTGAGCTAGAGCTCGGGACTGGCAGTTGACAAGTTGGCTCTTCGTACCAAACTGCGGCTGGCCTGTCTGGCACGCCGCACGTCTGACTTGCCGTCTCCAGCAGTGTCTTGTCCAACGCCAGACTGCCTCCCGATGACGGGAAGACAGGGGAATGAATAGAGGCACGTGCCAGGCACCACACGGGGACGTTCTCATCTGACCCGTGGGTCAGGCGTCTGGCCTAGCTCGGACCAGCGTAGCGTTGGTGCTGGGCCTCGTCTCCCCGCCTCCGTGTTCCAGTCAGCCAGCTTGCTCTTGAACCCCTTCCGCCTAGGAGCTTGCCCTTAGCAGTGGGTGGCAGGGCAGCAGAGGTACCTTGCGGGATAGCTCAAGCATCGAGAACCACCTGAGCGACAACCGCCTTCCAGCATCACCTTGGATCTTTGGGGGCTGGGGGCATTGATGAGACCAACAAAGCAATCGCCCAGTTAGTGGCTCCAGAACCCGGTACCCTCTTCGCCTTGGATTTAATCCCGGGTAGGTCTTATCCACACAAAGACCCAGCTGCGCCAGACACCTTATTACAGTTAATCGCATCATCGTTGAGCAGGTTCCTTACTCAATGTGGCAGCCGGCAGCCCAGCAGGCTAGAAGAAACCGAGACGCCGACCTGCGTCCCGAGGCCAGGCAGGCAGTAGTAGGTCCGGACAAACTCCACGATGCATACTCCGTACTGCCAGCACACGACATGTAGGACTTGGGTCTCTGTTCCTCTGAGTGGTCGACCACAGAGCCCAACAAAACGACGAAAGCTTCGAGTGTCAAGATAAGACGGGATGGCAGCGCTTGTTAAGCTTCAGGGTCCTCCGGATAGATCTGCCTCGCCCTCCGCTCCGTGAATCGTCCATTACGCGTTATCGCATGCAGCGTTATGCGGGATATGCGGGCTGGGTGGGTGTGCTCTGGTGGGTTGGGAGGGGGAGCTTGGTTGTGGACTAGTAGAAGTGGGTGAAGAATGTCTGAGGAATGCTGATAGCGCGGTACATCTTCTCGACTTGCTCATGACCAGGGAGCCGGTGCCCCCAAGCTGCGACTGGTGTTGGTAGGCTGTGCCTTTGTGCTGCCCGTTCGGTGCCTGGCACGTCTGGCATGGCATGGGCGTTGTGCTGGCTTGATCGTCCGTTGCTTTCGGGATGCTTGGGATGGTCGATTGGAAGCTGTCAGCCGTATCCGTAGGAAGGTTTCCTGGAAATGAGAAAGCACCCTCGTAGCCATGGGCTGGTTGTCACTTGTGAGCCATGGGTCGTGAGGAAGAGTGAGACCCCGAGGCTGTTGGACAGGGCGAAGCACAGAGTACATTGCCCGCCCATGCTCTGCTGTGACTGATTGCCCCCGTATCGGCCTTGGCTATTGGGACTCGGTCAGATAGCCTCGGGGGTATGACGTCGCCCTCAGAGCTCTGACTCTGGCTCTCAAGGTGCAATGATCACTCATGCGTGCTTCCTTGTCGGTTGCAACCACCAGAATCCGACAAAATGTTGCTGAGACATGAAAGGAAATGGTGTCTAAAGATTCAGATGAGCGTAAACGGTGAAGACGATAGAAAAGCAGCATGGCGTGGCATAGCATGGCAGGCACATTGTCGATGGCGGGAAGCTTGGGTGAAGCTTCCCCAACAGGCGGAGGCCGGATTGGTTGTGTTCCTGGCGGATGCAGCGTGCCGCCAGAAAGAAAGAGGAGAAGCAGAGGTACCTTGAGGGGTCACTTGCTATCGCCCATCTGCACAATCCCATCCCCGTCCTCCGTTCGTCCTCTTTTGAAGCAGCCTCCCGTATCGAACAAGTGACAAGCTGCTCGGGGTAAAGTGGAAAGGTACTCCGTACCTTACCTACCTTACTGGGCACCTAGCACAAGCCAAGTACGTACCTGTTGCCTGTAAGCGGGGACAGTCCCAGGGAAACCCCAAACGTGACCCTCCCAGACTGTCCCAGTACCTCCCTTATCGCATTGCCGAGGAAACCCTATCGAGTCATTCCATTGGCTCTCGCACCATGACGCTAAGCCGGTTTCGGCCCCGTCAGCCACCCTCCAGCTCTTATCTTGGTTGGCTGCGTCACACACTGGCAACACTGGGGCGGCGCAACCATCCTAAGGCCGATACCTCACCTGGAGCTGTGCGCACGCAACCGCTGTCGCTGCCTTCCCTTTATATCTACCCGCTCCCGCTCTCCGACAGCTCCATCCTCTATCTCTCTGCTCCATCTCTCTCCCATCCCTCCCCCTCCTTCATCGACCATCCATCCTCTCAATCCCATCGAGTATTCGTCTGTCCTTGGCGTCCTTCGCAGCTTCAGTTTCCTTCCCTGTCATCACAACCAGCGTCTCCGGTAGACTCTACTCACCACCACAACACCGCCCATCATGAGAGGCTTCATCGGTGCTGTGGCCGGCCTGGCCGCTGTTGCCAGCGCTACCCCCTCTCTCTCCATTGAGACTGTCCACGACGGCGCTGCACCCCTTCTTTCTTCCACCAACGCCGAGGCTGTCCCGAACTCATACATTGTCAAGTTCAAGAAGCACGTCTCGGACTCCGGCGCCTCGGACCACCACAACTGGGTCCAGAACATTCACTCCTCCGCTCAGGATGAGCGTCTTGAGCTGCGCAAGCGTGGCCAGGAGCCCATGGTTGACGATGTCTTCCACGGCTTGAAGCACACATACAAGATTGGCAAGGACTTCTTGGGCTACGCCGGTCACTTCGATGATGCCACCATCGAGAAGGTCCGGAGGCACCCTGACGTAAGTCCGACCCTCACACCCAGGTCCCGAGACTCAAGACGCCCCTCAAATCCGCGGATCCACAGTCACTGCAGTCCACGGCAGAGGCGG